GTTCACCCCAGTACTTGCTCCTGCAACAAACTGGCTTGATCTGGCGTCCACATAAGTTGGCAACTGCCCGAACCTTTCAGGAACACCACGTGCTTTACGACCCAACTGTTCATTCAGCACCATGGTCGCCATCTGTGCTTGCTGCGGCGTCATCTGGCTAATCAATATACGCATTTTGAGTTAGCACATCACCGTTCGGAGCCCCAACAGGCGGCACACCAGCAGGGGGGTTTGATGACCACTCAGACACCAAACTTGGCACGCGCACACCTCCTCTCATGGTTTCTGACTCAGTCATAGGACCAATCAAAAGTTCTTAAGAACTGTGCCTACAGGTCGGTTTGTTGCTGGCCGTCCCGCAAGGAGGTGCAATGTGCACCAGCAGGGTTGCATGCGACATGACCATTCGCTGGAGGAAGGACCACGAACTGTCGAAGCGAAGATCTAACGAGAGAGTGGAACCATGGGCTGATGGCGGTTCCCACCATGGTCGATCGCCAACACCTGAAAGCCCAAAGCGCGAAAGGCCGCGGAGAGGCCACCGGAGCCACTGCATAGCTCTATGAAGAGGAGCTTTCGACATCGGAGTGCAGGTAAAGCACTTGGCACGGGTTGAGGTATAGGGGCCTAAGGTCAGGGAAACCAGGCCCACCTTGCACCTGCTCTAGACCATTTCCCTAGCCACACGACCTCCATCTCCGCCATCATGGCAATTTTGGCCAGCGGGTGCAAGTTGAAGACGGTCATTTGGAAGGTCTTACAAAACCATGTCGTGGACTGCAGCTTAGAAAAAAAAGTAAAATTCACGTTGCATTGAAGAGGACTTTTGGTTGAAAGAGTTCTTGTTCAAGAAGTTTGATTTTGGAAGACTTGGAGAAGTGTGCAAAGAACTCGAAAGCTTTCTTGCCTTTGTAGAGCAGAAAGCTCAAGAAACAAGCTACGTTCGGCAGAAGCTTGGAGGCTAGGCGTAAGAACAAACCAGCAAGGACACGTTGCTCTGTGCGCGCGAAAGTGAAGCTTACTTTGCTGCTGACAGTCGATCTGGCGTGTTTCTAGCACCTTTAAGTCTTCACTCTATCAAAAGGCACTCTTCCAAGGCGCTCGAAGCGTCCAGAAAAAAAAGGATCTGGAGAAAGAGTTTAAACCGTGGAAATTAGTGTTGGCAGTGTTGATGGAGAGTTGAATCCGCAGATGTGGGTACAAAAGTTCCACATGGTCCAAGCCGTCGCATTGTTGCACATGCGCTGGCATGGTTGAGCAGATTGGCGAAACTTTCTGGAGGGTTGGCGTTCATGAACATGAGGAACTTGTCCAGAAACATGAGTCAGAAAGCATCACACGTACGGAGGGTCATCAGCCGGATGCTGAGACAACCCAGCCGGCGGTTTGCGTGATCATCTTGAATCTTTTGAATGCTGTTCAAGCAGCAAACATCCCAGTTCTTGATGAGAGCGACTTGCCAAAGGCAATGTGGAGGTTCGAGCATAATTTGATGGCGTGCGTGAGCGTTGTTATGATCATCATGGCCGTGTGTACCGTGCTTCCATTGCGTATTGAGTCCGTGCAGGAGGAGGAGGAGCAGCAGCAGCAAGGTGCCCAGGTCAGTCCAGGTACCCAGGTAGGTCTAGGTGCACAGGCAGGCCAGGTTCAGTGTTCTCCACAGCCAGTGGAGATGCAAGTGAGCGATTCCCAGAAGTCAGTTGTACAGTACATGTACATGGTAGGTTGGGACAAACTGGCCACATGTGTTATCATATTCACCATGTCAGTCAAGCTGTTGGTGAGTCGTTGTTTCAAATATTTGTGAGCCCTGTGTCGGACTACGAAAAGCCACAGATCAGGGTGTTGATTGAAGGTGTGGTGCAGTGTGATCCCATGTGTGTAACATTCCTAGACGGTCAGCGTAATGAAGTTTCACGGCCTCCACTTGGGTCAGTCAAGAGCAGAGCATCCTGGCCGCCAGGTTGTACAGGGATGCTCATAGGTACGGTGTTCAATCAGTGCCAGTAGCGCATTGGTTGAGCAGTAGTAAGTTCATGTGAGAGCTTGGTTTGAGATCGGCTCTCAGGCGGGGTGATGAACTTTTGCATCACATGTGAACCCCGATTTGTAAAGTCTCAAACATGTTTTCACTTGAGCATGGAAGAACCATGTTGCATGATTGCATTCAGGCTCACAGTACGTGTTGAAAAAGAATGATTTGTTCATTTTCTCAGAGAACGCTACACCTACAAGGAGAGTTGGGAGTGGGAGACCATTTCCCTCCTACTCGTCTGCCAGGAAGGGCCCCCCACTCCGGCCGCTCATCTGTGCTCGATGGCTGGCCCAGCGTTGCGCCGTCTGTCACACCTTGGTCTGTGAGGTGCCTAAGCTGCTTGCCCATGCTTGTTCCTTGGTTTCTGCCTATTTGAAAAGGCAGTGATTTTTTGAGAGGATGCAGCTCCCTTTTGGGTTTGGCTTTAAAGCTTGCCGTGCTCGTCTTTTTAGGAGCGGCCTCCTGCTCCTTTTCCTTGCCTGCTGTCTGTTCTGCCTCAGCTGTAGCGGCTGTCTGCCTTTTGTTAATAGGGAAGAGGCTGGCTGCTTTGGCCATGCCTTTGAGGCACCGCTGCGCACTGTGTGGCGAGAATGGTCACGATGTGTGGACTTGTTCGCCGCCTCGTGCTAAGAAGTTTGTTGCTGCGCTGAACGCTCTTGCCAAGTCTCGACAGAGCGGACGGAAGCCTTTGGAGGGCAAGACACATCAACGGGAGAGCAGAGCAGCCTACAGCAGCAAGTGTGCCAAGCGCAGAGCGGAAGTGTCTTGGTGGCGTGAGAAAGGAAAATAACGTTCATGTTCCTAGTGCATCCATGTTCGAGAGCGTCCATACTAACGTTCATGTTCCTACTGCATCCATGTTCGAGAGCATCCATGCTGGCCAAGATAGTAACGTGCATGCTCCTACTGCATCCATGATCGCGAGCATCCATGTTGGCCAATATGATAACGCTCATGTTCCTAGTGCATTCATGTTCGAGAGCACCCATGCTGGCCAAGATAATAGCGCTCATGTTTTGGAAATGACAAATGAAGCAGCAGCCGCATCAGCAAGGCATGCAACAATAGCCCTGCTGGCCCTCGTACATGCTCCCGAAAAGTTTCAGCTAACGTAAGTATTTTCGGAAGTTACATGACTTCGCAAATAAGCCTTATAACGCAAACGCACTGTGTTTTACAGTGTTTTTGCATCTTCGTAAAGTTCAAAACATAGGGGCGGCAGGTCAGCCGCCTACCTTGTTTGACAAACATTCTCGTGAATTTGCTGCTCACGGCAGCATCAAAACTTTGTGTCCCACCCTAAACCTTTTTTTTTGGATAGCGGAAGTTCGCGTCCAATTGGGTTGCGGGATGTCCACATTTGGAAGCTTGGAGTCTTCCCTAGCTGGCAAAACAAGCAGTTTTGTTTACTTGTCCGATTTAAAAGGAGGGGATGCGGGATGTTTTGCTCTCACCCTCTGATTTTCTTTTGCACACGTGAAGCCCATCGGTTCCTTTGAGGAAATTGCGCGTGGGTAATTGAATAGATTATTTTCCAATCAGTTCGAAATATTTTTGATTTGGATGTGGAACGGTACTTGTATATGGTTCCCCGTCCTCCTCTGGAAAGAAAGTAAGTAGTGCCTAATAGCAGTGTAAATTGCCCGGAACGGAATTGTTTTTGTTGTGTGCCTCTTGAAGCTCATGTTGTACATTAGCATGAAGAACCACCAGAGCTTGTTCTGACATGTAGAAGAACGAACGCGGATTCGTTTGTTGACAAATTTACGAGTCGGTTACAGGGCATGCGGGACAAAGCCCCCGGGCATAGGGTAACAGGTGAGGGTGGCCGGTTTGATGGGTTGCGCCGCACGCATTCGTAAACAAATTTGCCATGTTTATGTCTTGAACCGCCCAAGACATGTTGGGGTAAGTTTGATTACATGTATTGGGCGGATCGTCCTTCGGGGCTTGGCTTTGAGAACTTGTCAACATTGTAACTGAGCACAGAAATGTTGGCAATACGATTTCTTGTGGACACGACTGGGTGAATGAAATTTAGAAACCGTGTGAAACATATCATGTCTGATTGTGGTGCATACCAGGATTCCACAGCCATTGAACGTTCAGGAAGAAAATGTACGACAAATTACGCAGGATTCAAATACAACTGCCCATAGGAAAGCTTGGGCACGTCAATGCCACGCATGTACTGAATATTTGGCCGCTATGTGATGGATTCCGTATCCGAATGGCATTTGGCGCTCTCCGCGGAGGATATGTCAAAATGGCGTGCGGGACAGTGTCGCAAGGCATTGCTGCTCAGCCGTTTCACAACCATGCTCCATGAACATGTTGCGGTGTTGCAGGCTTACCCGGACCCTGCACCTGTTATTCTTGCTCGATCTGACATGCTTTTGAGAATTGTCGGTGCATTTGCCAACAATTACAAGCACGTAATGGTGAACACATGGGGCCCCTTGCCTACATGTTGTATGAGGAATTTCGAGTTTCATTCATACTAATAGATATGTTTATATATATAATATAAATGATGTTGATACTTGCAGGTTGTCCAACTCGGTGTGGCAGCGCGACCGGTTTTGCTGATTGCGAATGGCTCCAATGAGATAGTGCGCCCAAACATGTTTCATTATCGTATCAAGATGTTGCGTACAATTGAGGCGAGTCATACTAGTGCCGCTGACTAATGACTAATGCCAGTACTTGCAGCAGAACGTTTGAATTGTTACAGACAGTGGTAGTGTAGATCCTCACGGGTTTGTTTTTTTTTCGTGTCAGTGCATGAAATGTGGCATTTGCATGTTGGCAGTGACACGATATCCACGTCTTGCACATAGGGTTCATGTGGCTGTAGCATAATATTCACGTGTTGTGCACATCTGTTCAATGTGCGGTGATGTGTCAACGCATCATCTGCGCATTGCGCAGCATCGGTTGGTAACACAAGTTATAATGTCAAGGTATGCAATGGACGCGCGGTGTGGACACAGAGGAGGTCCACTTGAATCAGGTTGGGACTGTTGAAGCACGTCGCGCAAAAAAACACAGTGCAATGAAAACATGTGCACGTTCCTCATACCATTCACAACCCATCACTTCGTCATTGAACAAATCCAAAAATGTTTTCATTTTTTGCTGAACATCTTTGATCAACAAAGCATGCGAGTAGATATGCAGGTGATCTGGAAGATGTACCTGGCCTTGGTTTATGTTTGCGTTGTCCATGGCATGGGCGCCAGTATCATGTGGAAAGCGGCCACGAGGCCAGCTTCAATACTGCCAGATGTTTCTCCGGCCAGAAGTAGTGGCAGGTAGTGAGTTATCAACATTCGCATAACATGGTCATGCCATTGTAGTATTTTGGGCTTTGCAAAGTGGATGTAATAATATGCATTCTAAGCTATTTCTTACGCGTGTTGTCCAGGGCCTCCAGAGCATCAGACAGGTGCTGGCGGCAGGCCAGTTACGTCCTTCTCAGCGGACTTTCGTTACAGATCCTCCGCTCAAAATTCCAGGGATCCAGAATCTTGCGAACAGAGCACTGTCCCTTCCCAGGAAGTCCGTCATGGCGCTTTGTACGTGCGGATGGAGAAGAGTGGCGTTCTTCCTTCAGCGCCTCATTGGCATGCACCCCATGGCAGTGAGGGATCAACTTGAATGCAATTGTTTAGGTTGATAAGTGCTATGAGGAATGTTCGCCAGAACGGTCAAGTCGGTTTGAGCCCTGAGTTTGAGAGTGCAGTCTTCAGCAAGCAGGGGATTCCACAGAACCTTCAAAATGGAGTGAGGGGGCCACAGCCCACGATTGTCTTGTCAACCAGCCCCTCTAGCAAAATAGCAGCTAAGCTGCACTCAATACCTTCCGTTATCAGGACGATTTTGCGGCTCTGGACATGGCATCCTCACGGGTGCCGGCAGAACACGGAGCATCCTCGTTGACTTTGTGGTTGGGGTCCAGAGACAACAAGGCTGCTGGGTTGTGAGCCTGCATCATCATGAGGATTCGGATTGTGTTGACCATTTTGTGTATGTCCTGTTGTCATTCTATGCCTCTCTTGCCGGGCAGGACACTAGCGGAAACTCTGCCGCAGGGGCTCCACCACCTGCTACCAGCCAGGGAACGGATTACATTTCTGACGAGTTTTTGTTTTGATGGCGGCGTCTCTCACATCAGGCTCGTTATTTAATCAGATATTCAGCTGCGCCGATTGCCCAACTGCCGTGATGACTTGAAGCTGGTCCTGAAGCTACGGAGCGCCGAAGAAGACGGATGATGCGAATGCAAGGTGCATGCAGCCAGTACGAAATTGGGGATGGATTTCTGTGGACGGCGTGAGCAGACTGTCGCACTCTAACATGTGAGGTTGTCTCACTGTCAAACAGCAGGCTGTACATAGATCATCATCATTGTGCAGGACCAAGACTGGGCAGGTTTTCGTTGGCGTTCTCCAAAGGGCCGGCATCTTGATGGGACGTCCTGCGCAGGATGCGTTGCGTGAGTAAAACTTGCTTTCCGCCGGCACCTTTCTTGCGTATCTTTGATGTCGAAGTTCTGTCTCCTGCAACACATGAAGCCACAACAATCCGCTGCAGCGTTCTGCGCCCTGTAGTCAACCTTGTACAGCTTTGGTGAGCAACTGCCTGCAGCTTGGTTGCCATAGAGGGTATTGTGATGCTTTGCCATGTGAGGGTTGAGTGTAACTGGAAATCGCGTTTCTCTGCAAGATGCAGTCCCTGCCCGCATGGTTGCAACATTCAACTTTACGTTTGCAAAGTCCAGCCTCCTGGTCACAGAATCTGGACAGCTAAGGAGAGACGAGACTTCATAATGAAGAAGGGACGTGCCGCGAAGCAGTGCAAGATGAGGACTCGATTGAGGGATCTAGGTCCCAGATCGCATTGGCCAGACCCCTGCAGGAAGTTGCGCAATCTAGGCCAATCTAGGCCCTCATACAATACATGCTAAGGCAGTGCAGTTTGAAACCAAAGGTTCCTGGATGATGTCTCCACAGAAAGCCAACAGCTGCAGGGATGGTTTAAGTAGTAAAGTAGTATTGGCAGTAGTCGCGCAGTGGTAGTGGTGGCGGCGGCAGCGGCGGAAGCCAGTGTTTGGTATGGTAACAAGACTGTCAACGACATCCAACTTCTTGAATCACTCACGATGATACGGGTAGGACTTGCAGGGATGAGAGCCAACAAGATGGTAGGAGGCATGTTGATGGATATGGATAGACCTGTTAGCTGTGGATTTGAAAATGGGGCCCTACGTCGCAGATGTGCCGCGCAGGATGGCTCAGGGTTGCCAGGTGGCCACCTTGCTGAACTGCGCGGACAACAGCGGCGCGAAGAACCTGTACATCATCGCGGCCAGATGCTTGGTGCGGGTGCATGTTTGTGATTGAGGCCTGTGGCCAACATGTCTGCTGTTGAAGGAAGGCCTGGAGCACACCCAACATTTTTTGATGCAATGATACATTTCAAGCAACCTGCGCATGACACCCTACACAGATTGAGAGTGCTGGTGATCGTAGCTTAGGCTGCGGTGTCCACAATCCAAGTTTGGAGCCAGCAGTCTGACAAATGCCCAGGTCATTGGCATTGGGGGCCGCTTGAACAAGCTGCCCAACTGCTCCCCTGGTGATTTGGTGCTCAGCTCGAGGGGTGCAACAAGTTTACGCATGTCTCACGCGTTTTTGAAAATTGCATGAGCCTGTTCGCAGCGTGCTTAGCGTCTTGCCGAGCAACAGAAGTAGAGAGAGTCTCAGGGAGCTTTGTTTCGAGGTGCTTTGCAGTGTCAAAAAGGGCAAGCCAGAGCTTCGAAAGAAGGTGCTCAAGGGTGCCAGGAGCTTAGCGGCTTAGCCCTAAGTGTGGGAACAATGTCTCAGCTCATCGCCACTTTTGGCCAGGCATTTTCCCGCAGAGTTGACAACATCACACATGGCACAGACAGTGGATGTTGTGCAATACACACCAACCGCTCTGTGGCCACGAATGCCAGGTTGTCATCCGCCAGAAAAAAGCGTGGAGGCGTCGCGAAGGTGTTTTCGTCTACTTCGAGGACCGGGACAAAAGTCTTTTTGTGTTGACTCAGGATGACACCTGCCTGGCAAACGGGCAAGATGGGGGATCCAGTCCTTGTTGCTGCTGGATGTGCCTTGAGAGTGATTGGTTTGCTGAAGTTGGGTGAGTGACCGCGATGCAATATCCTGCTCCAGGGCTGGTTTTGCCCATGGGTTTTCATGTTTGCCTGATAGCCTGATAGTTTTTTTACTCTAGTCACCCATGCTTTCAAGCCGGAAGAAGAGAGTTGACTCACAGGACAATGCCGGTGTGATTGTGAACGATAAAGGCGAGATGAAGGGCTCCGCAATCCAGGCCTCTCGCATATCAGAGTGCCTGGCCATAGGCGATCATGTTTGCTTCACAGAGGCTGCAGAGGCCCAGCCTCAAATCGCTGAAGTCCCTAATTGCAGCCGCTCAAACTCTAAAACGAAGCCGGCACATCTGTCAGGGGCCAGTGGCAAAGGAATGCGCCGAGCTGTGGCCGAAGATTGCCTCCTGCGCCAGGGACCCGACAGGGTTTTTCAACAAAGAGACATTCCTATAAGCGAGTTGCGAAGCACGGGCTGGGCAGAATTGCCAAGTCTTGCTGCAGAATTTGCGCAGAGATTACATGAACATTTTAAAGGGGTTGACTGTAGCACAAAGAAGTTAGAATATGTAGTGAGGACAACTCATGATCAGGTGGAACCATATAATTAGGGATCGGGCTTAAGCATTCTATTTCGGGATTTGAGCAGCGTAGCTTGCGCTGCGAGATGGGGACTTTGAGGTGCACCTACACCAGTTGCTGTTGAGCATTGCTTTCTTTGTGGGTCTGGACTGGATGGAGGTTTGACTTCATGGTGGTGTCATTGTATCCGCTGTGCTTGTGTTGATAGGGTTCTCCTCAGCATTCCTGAACCACGGCACCAGAGATCTCAAGCGAGTTGACCTGGAGGGCTTACACAAAGGTTTACCAGTGTTGATGGACATGCCGCCATGCCTCAGGCACCTGCTATCTGCTGATCAAATGGCTACCTGGGGCACGCAGCGCTTGCGGAGAAAAGTGCAAGGGCGCTTCTCATGTTGCAGTGCTGTTGCAGGCTGCACAGAGCGAGCTGCATCAGTGAGACACAAGAGACACTAAGCATCCACAGAGGGGTGACTGCTACAGGCGTAGTGGTCCAGGATGCAGACAGGCCTCACCAATGTAGGGGTGCAGCCTCCTTCCACGAAGGGGTCATCAGGATCTCAATGTGTTGGTTTTGAAGAACAGATGTTCATGAATCAAACCCCCATGCACCAGCTTAGGCTCGGCTCGGTTTCCGGATTTGCATTTGTGTAGACCCCCTGGTGCAATGAGCCGTAGTGCCGCGGGCTCAGTACCGTTTGTGGACAACATGCTGCATTACAATTCCATTTATCATTGTCCCATTTCTGGGAGCGTATTACACCTAGGAGGTCATGTAGGTTTCGCGCGTCAAAGGCCGGATCTGGCTTCCTGGTGCTGGCCGCCCTGGCCTACCTGACCTGCGGCCCAAGCTTCACCGGACCAGCGCTGAAGG